TTCTCTAGACACAGAACTCTCCGGGTCGGAGGGACTGGTCCCGAGGGCAGCACTCCCACAGAGCGGGGGGGCAGCGAGCACAGTCCACGCCCGCTGGCCTCCCTGAGATAGACTGGACCGTCTCCCTCCGCACGTAACCGGCTCAGAGCACTGATGGGGGGACAGGGGCCGGTGACACAGACTTGTGTCGACAGCCTTTTCTGGGCTCATCTGAGGGAGGTTCTGGAACTGAAGGGAGGGGAGAGCCGGGACGAGGCTCACTCACATAGACCGCGAAGTCCTTGGGGGCGCTGGTGATGTTGCCCGTGGGCGACAGCGTCTTTGGTATGTGCTCCAGAGTGAAGGTGGTCGGGTGGATCTCCATGGACAGCCTCACCACGAGGTACCCCTGGGAGCCCCTGAATGCCCAGCAGTTGCCTGGATAGATGTCAGGCTAGGGAAAAGGCAAAAACCGAAAACTTAACACACGTGACCCTAGAACGGCACGGGGGCCGGGGTACTAGCTGCCTGCACGGTGAAGACCCCACGAATAATCTCTGGCTCCCCAGCACCTCTACTGACAGCCTACAGGCAGCCAGAGGGCTTGCTGCATGGGCATCACACACCTTCTGCATGGGTGATACACTGCACCCTTACAATGAAATAAACTAGAGAGAAGCAGCACCACAGAGCTCATGACGGGGAGGACAGTGCAGAAGCGGACCCGCACAGCTCAAACCCGTCGTTGAGGGTCAACTGCAGGTTGAACGAGCCCTGAAGAACGTATCTGACAATCTGAAACTTAACACACAGCAACGACAAGATACTAGTAATACCGATGTAGTAATAAACAAACTTCTACACAGTAAACAGCCATCATAAGCAAGATCAAAAGACAAAATGCGGAAAGGCCTTCGCAACTTAAACTCCAGAGGGTGACGATCTCCAGTATGTTAATGAGTTTCATAAAAGTTAAGGTAACCACCGCCTTAAACGAAAATAGACAAGACAAACTCATTTTTTAAAAGAAGTAAATTTAAATGGTCCTCAAACATACGAAAAGATGCTGCATGCTACGTAATAACAATAGAAATACAAATTCAGGGGCGCCTGGGTGGCGCAGTCGGTTAAGCGT